GCATAGTATTTAATGTTCTTACGACGAGCCAGAGCTAAAGTGGATGGAAATATCACGAAGCCAGGGACGGACTCAGAGGAGGAGGGGGCGTTGAAGGAAGCACCCCAACAACGCGACAAGACAGTGATTTGTAAACAAATATTTGTTCTGTTGATCTTGTCCTCGTAATATAAACGTATGAGGAGAAGCGCGAAGATAGATCAACAAAAGTCTGTTTTTAACAGTGCCAACGTTTCGGCCATTTATTTGGCCAGCTTCAGGACTGCAAATATACAGTAGATGCACAATATACTGCAAATATTTGCTATCTTTAGGTTGAGTTACGAAGGTGCTGTTTGAAACATGATTGAGCACGAGGTTAAAATCTCTTCTGCTTCACTAACAGGCGCTCATCTTTGATCCCGAGAACGCAGTTTTCGAGAAGCAGAGGGGGAGTGGGGGTGCGCGGCAAAGTTGTGGTGGCCATGGAAGCGCATTACCGTTGCATTGCTTTGCAAGAAGACGACTCCTTAACGTGTATAGCAAACCTGCATCAGAAAAGTTGCGTTTCAACGTACCGTATAAATATATTAAAATGTAGAGAAATATTTTAGAAGCGTGTAGTAATAGCTAAAATAGGTAAAAATGATTAATGACACAAAAATATGTAAAATAAAAATATTTCTAATTCATTCAGAATGTCATGTAAACTAAAAAAAAAAAAATATTGAATGCAGGTATCTTGTTCCTGTGAAAGCATGTAATCACATGACACTCCGCTCCCTATTCATCCAAGAGAAGACAGGAGGGGCAATGAGCGCAGTCGACAACAATACACTTGGAGGAAATTATGTGCGATTTCAGAAGAATCGATCCACTGTGGCGGATTTCCTAACCGATTACGCGATATTTGTGAGGGCACTGTCAAATTCTGTTTTAAGATATGAAGAGGATGATGGTAGTTTTTATGTACGCAGTAACTTTCCTCTTGTTTTGAAGGTCAAGTACAATGTTTTTAAGAGTGAAATGCACTTACAGCTGTATAAAAAGCCTGATTTTTAACCATAGAAAAAAATTATCTGAAAAATAAAATGTAAGTATTCCCAACAATTAACTGCCTTTTAATGAAAATTCCACAGATATCCGTTCCTGAGATTAGCTATTGCAATCACAAAAATTGCATAAAAGAGGAATAGATTTTTGTACCATTTAAAGAACCATGTTAAAGACAGCCACTTTTAAATCACTGACAGACGATCCAATTTTATTAATAGAGAAGATCAATATGCATGGACTCTTCCGCGAGCAGAAGAGTAAATTTAGATTTTCACAAACTAGCGCAAGTGATCCGTGCAATAACAGAGGAATGCCGGTGCAGAGGCGTCAGTAGGGCACTTGCAAAGGGGCCTCAGGCCTTTTCTTCCTCTTGTTATATCTTCATCTCTTATTTACACACACATTCATGATCTTCCCTACCACACATATCGGGAGCATAGAGCTTATTCCGGTTGGGGCGATACCCTTGGGAATAAAAACCTGAGTGCCCACATAAAAGTTCAATGCAAAAAAAATATCTTTGATACGTTAATCTGACCTCAAGGGAGACATGACACCACGAGCGTCACCTGCGTGTCACTCGGCACTGTACAAGTCGTGCCCTCTGTCATGACGCGCTCTTTAACTGTAATTAAACCGAACGCGAGCAGTTCGTAAGGCAGCATCATCACTTAACACCTGACTGCGACTTTTGTGACGTAAGTGTGCTCACGACTTCACAGGGACTAATGTGTGACATCACCGGAAATGATTGAAGGATCGAGATGGTCTTAAAAACATTTTATTGTATTGCGATTAGTTTCATTGGTGCAACAGTGCGTTACGTTGTCATTAATCGTAAAAATGTAATTAGTAATTAAAGAAACAGCAGTATAGATGAAAACCCACGGCCATCTTGTTCACCTTCTTGAAGCTACTTCCAATTTTCGGTCGAAAAATTCGTATTTACGGCACTTATGAACTGAAACATCGCTTACACATGATTCGGGACACTCAAGAGTGCTGTTCCAAAGATGGTTACGAGTGGTGCAGATGGGAAGGAAATACAGTTTTGTACCCCCAAATCTGAATGTCTGTCTGCCTGCCTGGATGGAAAGAAGCATGTCTTTTATAACTATCGGATCAGAAGCTACTGAACCCAAACTACCTAAACCCTAGTCCAGCTGAGTCGCTCGGAGGATTGCTTAAATATTAAAGTTGCAGATATCTAAAGTCCAGTTGTGCAGCAAGAAGTCCCCACTTCAATGATTCCATAATGTTGCTGAATCCAAATCCAAAGTTCGCTTTATTTGAGAGTCCACTACAGTATTTTACACCTGCTATGTTCGTCGACTTAGTTCATTATTTAGATGGTTCGTTGCTCTGGAACTAATTACTTGTTTATTTTCATGTATTACAAAAAATATTCAATGATACACGTTTGATATAATAGTGAAATGAAATTAATAATTATTCTGATTTTTTCCGATTCTTTGCTCAAATCTTTTCCCGGGCATTCAGCTGGAATCCTCTACACCTAGGAACGCTCGAGAGAATTTTCCTACTCAAAGAAAGGTCAGATATATCCCGTCGCGCATAATGGGCTAAATACGAGTAGCGAATCCAAACGAACTAGCCTTAAACATTTTGTTTTAAATGTTTCGGGAAGGGGAACGTTAGGGTTGAGAAGCGGTATCATAATAAATACACTTCAATTTTACCCGTTTATGTTTATTATTAATGAATAATATTTAATAAAAATTAATAAAATACACCCACTGACCTTTTTTCTCGATCACTACAGTATCGATTAAGGAAAATAAATTAAAAATCATAATCTACAGTTCTATTCATAATATCTCAATACAGTATTTCATTTTTCGAAATTGTTCAGCCAGAACCCTCTGTACACACATTGCGAATAATCTGTTGAATCCTCATTGTCGGGTTTGTATAAATATGGCTTCTTAAATTATCTCAACACTGATGAAGAAAATGGTAGTATCTTCTTTTACGACTTTTTATTGGTCTGTGAAAGGAGTGAATCACAAATTCCAAGGAGAATATGCGAATCTCTTCGGGGACATTTCCTAGTACGCCAATCCGAACCTTCTCAAATATGTCTCTCTTCCTAGACGTCCAAAGATACTTGTTGAATTGGAAGTACAGCGCGTTCAATAGTTTTTCACCATGAATCGAAACTCTCTTAACGGAGCAAGGCATAGATTAGAGAGAAGAAGGATGCAATTTTACAGTATTCTGGTGATCCGCCCATCCATAAAAACGATGATGGTCGATGTTATTGCGACGTGTTGCCGATGAACTATAAAATAATAAGCTGGGTAGTTACAGAGACGTGAAACAGTTTATATCATACCTTGCACGTTTATTTCTTCTTCCACAAGAAAGAAGAATCATTAAAAAGAAATGGATCGACACTAAGGGAACGGTCGGTTCGAGTCCTTAAAGCAAAATCATTGAATGCTTCAGTCCACTGCGTAATCAAAATATATTATGGACAGGGCTGTTGCGAAAGGAAAAGTGATAACTTTGCCAATGTTGATTTTTTGGAGCAATGTTTCCATGATTATCTGGACTCCAGACACCTTTTTACTTTCCCGCATATACAGAGTAACATACGCAGTATACGGAAACTTTATGTAATGCTGCGACGTTATGTAAAAACGACGAGTTTTAGAAAATATCATTGCCGGACACTTATAACGACAACGTGAAAAAATCCAGTTGCTAAATTAAGGGAAAAATCCACTATCACGTGGTATAGCCAGAGTTCCTTTTCGGTGGGTCCCAAATACCGAAAAATCAATTGACGGCAAAATGTCCGTCTGTCTTATCGTCTGTCTGCCCGTCTGTGAACACCACTAGCGCATACACCATGCGTGGGATTTTTTCCAAACTGAAAAAGCCCTGTTTATCTGGCTCGAGTCGAAAGTTTGAGATTTTGAAAAAACATTCTTTAAAATTTGGGGGTACTTGACATGAAGCCCTCCGGACATTTTCAAAATTTTCTCAAAAACGGCGCCAAATTTTTTCTTTAATTTTTTTTAACACACACTTACAACTTGTGTTACTTCTTGTAACTTACACTTAGGTTCCATTTTAGCTGTTCAACAAGTTCGTATAGCTAGCCGAGACCAAAGGAAATAGAAATTTAATGCGGGAAAGTCTGTGGCATTCTGTGGCACCATTTGATTCCTTGGTCATTAGAAGGACCATTTTTCACGAAATATCGTATTATCTTTCTTCCTTCTTAGAATCCTTCTGACTTATAATCACCCACATTCTTATTATTGGTGGGGGCTATGTATTGCGATTACGTATCTTCGTTTCAGTTCTAATATATTGTCTCTTTGCAATGTTGTTTTCTACCATAAATACCATAGCTTAGCGCAGGTACTGGGATAGTAGAAAGTCGTGTTTTTGGTTTTCCTGTATGTTTGTTTTTAATCTATTAGAATGTCTGGTCTTCTCGTGTAGGCAGTGTATCTAAACGAGCGTTTCCAATCACCGTATCACTGAGTACACAAGTTGGTCATTTTTTAGAACTTTTTTGGGGTATTTTACAATATGGTTTGAAAACATAGTAAATATGGTCTTATAGATGCATGTATTTATTGAATATATTTATAAGTACATTTCTTTACAACATTGTGATCGTTTTCAATAACATTATTACTTGGATGCGAACTTCCCTACGTACTTCGTGCATTACCTTCCTATCCTCGCATTTTCCCGAGATAAATGTGATCTGAAATCATTTTCTATTCGTTTCACACATTCACTGAATGTTTCGCTCGAGGCTCAAAAATTAGGTCTCGACAAAATCCAACAATATTCAATAGGGCTGCGCTGGCGGCTGTACCCAAGCCCATTAGAGATCAGTAATTTTGAATATCCCGCTTGTAGTGTTGGCATTTCTTTAAACGATGGAATCTACAGGATAGCCAACAACACCCAGCTGTTTCTGACGTGGTTGGCGTTTATTTGTCACTGGCTCGTGTGAGCTTGTGTTTGTGGTCTGGATTGTAGTTGTGCGCGGAGTTCGCGTGCTGTCTTTGTGTATTTGACGTGGGACTTAGTGTTTTGAAAAGACAATGAAGTGGTTTAGTATATGTGTGTTGTTTTTAAGTATATTGGTAAGATTCTTTGTTGTGAAAGTGTATAATCATCTACTACAAGTTTTGGTTCCTGTATTGTTCTATAACCTATTTTTAAGGCCACTGCACCAGGAAATAAATACCGAAAGACACAGTATTCGCGGAATCTTCTCATCAGCTATTAATAAACTTTTGCTTCCAGGTTGGAGGCTCCTTTGCAGAATTTTCTGCTGAGGACTGCTGGGCTGTGGGACTAAACAAAGCAAATTTACTGTGTTCTTCCTGTGATCAGTTAGCTAGTTATGATCTTAATATATTAAAGTAGGTATTCATGTTTTGTGATGTCTAAAACATTTCAAGTGGGAATGCTTGTATGTAACAGTGTTTTTTCGTTTTTACAGAGAACACTGTTTACAATGTTGCCAAAGAGATGAAAATGCATTTCCTGTTAGGAGGTATGCTCAGGCAAGATTGGAAGTTTGTACTTGCAAGTTTGGTGCTTATCCACAAATTCAAGGTAGATGCAGAATGTGTTGTTGTTTTTCCTTCATACAACTGCTTTACTTTGTTTCATAAGATCATCTTCTTTGCAGCATTCATCAAAAGTGATCGACCATCTAAATTTCCCAACTTGACAATTAAGTACGTTCGAGGGCTTGATCCTATCATTAAGTTAATGGACCAAGAGGGCAATGTTCAAGATGTGAGTATAAGTTTCTCAGAATTTATATCCATTTCTGAAAATTAAAGGAATGATATATTGATCTTAAAGAAGTACTGCAATAAAGACTATTTTTTTGTGGATCTGTCTTAGGATAGATTGTGACTGAATGTTCATCATGTTCTATTCTGTACTTTACTTTTGTGATAACTAGGGAATCGCAGTTCAAAGTGATCCACCTGATTCTTGCTCACTCATCTTATTTTCAATCATTCAATTCATTCTCAAGGTTTTGTGGTTTTGAAATGTCCATTTCTTCTTTATTTTTTTAAGTCTTGGGCAAGAAAGTTAAAAAAAAATTAATTCTTATATTGATTAACTTATCCAAAATTTACATCTATACATCTCAGGAATTTTAGTGTTATATTCCAATAAAATATCAAATTCTACAAAACAAGTTACAAAATTTTTGGAAATTTACTGTAGTACTTCAGATAATTTTGAAACATTCCTGAGGTATTATATTTCAAATTATAATTAAGTTATACAGCTGATTTTTTGGTTGTACAAATATATATTTTGTGTAGTAATAACTTAAATCAATTGTTATTATTCAATAAAATGAAATTATTTTCTTTCTAGTAGAAGAAGTTGTGTTTACATATATGATTATTGTTGTTGTTATTATTATTATTGTTGTTATTATTATTATTATTCATAAAACATAATGTTGAATGCAACATATGATGAACTAATTTGATTTCTTAAGTTACAAAACTTAAACCATTCTTTCTATTCATGACCATTATTTGCACTTAGTAAACAGTGATGTGTATTATTATTTTTAAGGTTAATCCCAAAAGAATTTGTGCTTTTTTTCCCCATTGAAATAATTTTAATGAGCCTACATAGATATCTTAGAAAACTTCCAATTGTATTCTATTTTCAAAGTGACTGTGCAGATCTGAATTAAAAATGTCATTTTAACTATTTCAGGTTCTGGCTATAGATAAATGGAATACAGATTCTGTTGAAGAATTTTTACGGACTCATTTAGAAATGCCAAATGACTTAAGTGATGATGACTACAGACAGAGCAACATGATATAACATACTGAGGTGCTTAATTCATCTACTCTTGAACATTTGCTATCGAGCGATACCATGTAGTTCAGTTGTGGACTGAGTGTTTGTTTGAGCACTTCACAACACCACTACAGAAAACTCCTTTGCCAGATACATTATCAATATGTATTTATGATATACATGCTTTTTTTGTATATTGTGTAAATGTAATTCTGAAGACATTGTGATATAATGTATCAAATTGCCAACACCTTTTGTACACTTATGTATTTTTTAGTGTATACATAAAGTTCAATGTAAATTCTGAATTTCTATTTAATTTCGTAACCTGTACAAATTTATAGTGTATTGCATCAGTGAATGCTTTCGGATAATGTTATTTTGTTCAATTTTGCTTGTTTTTTCTCTCCTTTTAAGGAATTGCTACTGAATACTGAGTTCAGTGGTGAAATTGTACAGTTCAATTTCATTCAATGAATATTTTTTCCAAAATGTGTATAGTTTCCACGTTACAGTGAAATCATGACAATAAAAGAAATAAGCAAACAAGTCTTTTTTTCTTCTTCAAATTTTATCTTGAAATATTTTTCTCAAATATAGCAAAGTTGTTATTTATATGTGCAATTTTCATTAAAACATCTGAAATTTTGAAAATTTTAAAAGTTCAAAATTTTGTTGACATTCTCCTAACACTAGTTTATTAAATATATATCTCATCCTATAGAATACAGTGTGAGAAACGTTTCTTTGAGGCCTTGGCCTCAACATGTTAGTTTGTTATGCTCTAAAATGCTTTGTTTACAACTTACTTAACAATAAAGCTTCAAAAATCCTGTCGGGTATGTTGCGGATTGCATTTGACATGGATATTTAGTGCTGTTCTACAGCGCCATGTGAATTTTTTGATATTTTGGTAGTTATTCTGCTGTTCAGGATGAAGATGAATCCAACAAATCAGAGATTATTAAAATCAGTCCAGCCATTCTCAAGTTATAAACACTGTAACTAACCCTACATTTTTGTATACATAGAAATAACATGTTTGTGATTTTTTTTTTTTTTTTTTTTTAAATATTATTAGTAATTTTGAAGAAGTATATCATAGCAATTTAGTGTCTCAGATGTTAGAATGATCACAACTAAAGAATTCATTGCAGCTTCCTAGCCTAGGGTATGATTTTCATTTCTGAAATCTAAGCACTAGTGTGTATCCCTGCTCAGGCGGATTTAGATTTATTTAGTTAAAAAACGGTAAAAACTATGACATGTGGGAGAACATCATCTGTACATGTTTTCTTGAGTTCCAGAATTCCTTCCCATCATTTTAACTGCAAATAGTTGAAGGAAGAGTAAAAATTAAAGATATGTAAAAATAAAATTTAAGAAAGCTTGAGATTAGGAACATTTAAAAAAATTCACATTTTTGCTCCCGACTTATAGAAACCTTATTTGCCATGGTAAATGAACTGCAGGTTTGATTTTTCTGCATTGCTAACAAAATAGCAGCTCAAGCTTACCTCTACTCCTACCACTAGAAGCAAAAGGAGTGTTCAACAAAATGTACGCATAGTGAAGCTACATATACGTCCAGAAGCAAATCATGGGGCCATCTCAGCATTTGCTCAATGTATCAGAGAAACTGGACAAAAACCTGATTGAGATGGGGGTCATTGACCTGGAAGTTGAAGTTCGTTACTTATTACAAACATATTAAGTCTTTTTAAAAAAATTATACTACACAAATGTAAAGTAATTCATTATATACTACTGTTTTGTAAAAATACACATTTTTTTTCTTGATCAGTATAGTCTCTGTATAGAAACAATTATGCAGCAGAAAAGATTTTACTTTTAACTAAAATTTGTGTACCGACTTCAATTGTTTGATGTCATCTGGCAATGCGTAGTAAAGTAATGTTCATGAAATCTATGTGGATTTCTGGTAGTGAGCTGTTGATACTGACACTTGATGGATGTGATTTCTATGACATGTGTTGTAATTATAAATATGAGTATTGCATGAAAATATATCCCCACTGTTCAGTAAGTCAGTTTTGACAAATATTACTGATTCAGATACTGAAATAACTAAATAACTAAATACTGAAATAACTAGGCAAGACAATGGTAAGATTAAAAGCTCATGAAGAGAGACGTGCAGGGATCATGCAGATGGCAATTTTTCATTATTTGGATAATTTTCTTTTGTAATCTAAGGTGTAGTTACTACATGATGAGCTTCCCAGAATATTATGCCATATCTCAGCCGGGTGTACCTATTTGCAAAATTCACTCAACGAGCTGCATGAAGGCTGACAGAATTTGAAAGAATTGTGAATGCATAACATAATGAACTTAATTTAGTGTTCAGTTCTGTTATTCGTACTTTCCATTTGAGGTGTGACTGAACCTGCAAATTTTGTTACCTTAACATCAGCTAATTGCATGTTGTTCATTTTCAATGGAGCATGAGATTGCTGATTTGAAATGTAAAAATGCATTGAAATTGTTTTTCCTTTGTTAACTATTAATTTATTATTACAAAACCACTTTGAATGTTCTGAAATCATACTATTTATTGTTTCTTTTTGGCAATGAACATTCATGTTGTCCACAAACAGAACTGTTCTTCCTTTTTTAATAGGCAAGGGCGTGTCATTTACATATAACAGAAAGAGAATAGGACCTAAGATCGAACCTTGTGAGACCCCCATATTCAATTGGCAAAGAATCGGAAAGATAAGTAAATAATTCGTGCCTGTATGGTATTTGAACTCTTTGAGATCGATGTTTAAGGTATGAAGTTATCCAATCTAGAGCAATACCACAAACTCCATAAGAAGGTAATTTTGATAGCAAGATCGTATGGTCAATAACATCAAGAGCTTTCAAAATATATAAAAATATTTCAATGTGTACTTCATTTTGGTCCATTGGTTTTTTGTTTTTCCTTCAATCTTTTTGTAAGAATAGAGCACAATATACAGAATTCTGAAAGAATTGTTTTCATAAACAGTTTTGAATTTTCAAAAATTAAAAATGTGGCATTCTCACTACAAATATAAAAACAACCAAACATATACATTACTTGTAGCACAACTAATGTATATGATTTCATTAATTCATAGCAAATTTACAAATTCGTATTGTCATAAATTATCGTTGAGGAATTTTTATTCAGTCTTCAAAAACATGAATTGAGAAAATTATATTTAAAGATCCGTTCTGCTTACCACATTCTAGTGTAATAAAAGACAAAGTTTGTACAACTTAGAAATCACAATTGACACTACTCTGTACCTAAATGTGCTTCTGCTTTCTCTGAAATTATTCTCCAGAGGGATAATTAAAAGAACAGTTTTTAAAATGGGAAATATTTGCATGAGTTCAACTCGTTTCTTGATTGATCTAGAATTGAGAGAGATTTATTTTTCAGGTAATTATTACTGTACTGTGGAACAGTGATTTATCACAATTTTCCTCTTCACTTTTGTGAAACATGTAAATCAAATGAAAATTCACAGAGAAAAATTAAGCTCAATTTAATTGATATTCATAGAACAGAATGAAATTGAATATCATATTATAATTATTAATCATCTTGGTGCAATGTTTAGGGTTTATTTATAAAAGAATTTGAAAATTTCTTAAGTAAATGAAAAGTAAAACTATTTATTTCTGAAGATATTTTCTACATTTTATGAAGATATGATTGGTGCTTAATTTATTATCTAATTGAAACGTAAGTAGAAATGAACCTTGTATTTTGTAGAATAAAATGGGTATTTACATTTCAAACTTCTGAACTTTTGAAGGTAAATCCATGAAACTAGAATATACAAACTTTTAATCTCTAGTTTCAAGCATATAGAGGATGAGCCATTTCAGATGGAAAGAAAACACATCAACATGTTCTTTATAATATTAGCAATAAAAAATTCCTTCACTAAGCCCAAAGGCTCAGAAGCACTGTTTCCCATAGAAAGTGTTTTTTGTAATATTTCAATTTTGCTCCACTCTGTTTATCACTACATACTAACATATATTTCCAAGTCTCAAAGCACTCACTAGACGTGCATTACCAAGTCTCAAAGCAGATCATTAGCATTGTTTGCAAATAGTATTTGAACTGCAATTCTGACTGCCTAAAATCAAGCACGATTACAGGGGTGTCATAAATTGCAACCCGCTTCCAGCAATTCACAAATTTGTCTGTTTTGTTTGTATCCAAAATAAGTATATTTTTTTCTTTGTATAGCTAGAAGTATTCTCAGAGCTGTAAATCTCTATAATCACAACCTTACAGGCTTGTAGAAGAAGAAAAATTGTCAAGGCATTGATGGGCAGAAAGTACTTATTTTTCAGCAAAATAGCATTAGCAACATCAAGGTAAAAATGGTGATGATTTTTTTTTCCATTTGAAATGGCTTCCTCTGAATATAAATTTAAATCCATTTGTATGATGTGCTTATTCAAGACAGACATCATTCCACTGACAATAGAACACTTACAGTCATATGAATTGTAGAAGTTTCCATGTAATTATATATAAAATTGAGCGAACATATACACACAATTAAAGTTGACATTTTTGTGTAAATGCATGTGCCAACTGATGTTTACTGACATTACTGAGTTTGGAAAGTTGCATTCCACTCACTTCATTATTTGAAGTGCTTTTAGATCTGATTTTTTATGTCTAGTTTAGAAAACTGGTTTATGATATTAAAATAATAGGGAAAACTATGTTTTATTGTCTGCACTGACAGTTAATTACCCCTAGGGTTGTTACAATATAATTAAAATTTAAAGAAGTTTGATGTCAGGGAAACTTAAACTTACTTTCATTAGTTGAAAGAAAGTAATAATCCAATTTGTAATATTTGACATACAAGTTTTTTGCATTTTGTGAAGTAGTACCTGTTTAAAATTATTAATTGAAAGCACACCTGCACACCTTTTAAAAATAATCTTCAAATTTGCAAACTTTTTTTTGTGTGTGTGTGTGTGTTACAACAGGTTTTTAAATTGTGCAGACCGAAATTTTCAATTTTGTAGAAATTTCTCAATTTTGGCCTTGCTGTCAAATATATGAATAACACTGTGCAGAAATGTGTACTTATAAAATTCATTACATTCTGTCTTTGGTTAAAAATTACATAAAGAACATAAAGAGAGAAAATGATAGTGAAATGCATCAGGATGGTGCTTCAGTGAACTTGGGAGTAATAGGAGAACTGTTAAAAGGAAAGCTAATGCAATATGATAAAACCTACAGAAGTAGAAATGTGAGTAATATTATGGAGAAGCTAATATGGTCAAGCACATTAGTAAACTGAAAAATAATATGCTTGGGAATATTTCAGAATGTTTATTGAACTTCTGTATTTTATTTTTGTGGAAATGTACTAATAGTGCAGTAGAACCTGCAAATGCTATTGATCCTGATGAAAGAGGTAAAGTAGTTGGGAATAGTGCTAGGGGCAGATCCAAGAGATCTTTTTGGATGGGGCCATCAAATATTTTTGTTAAATAATAAACATATTTGTTATTATATTGCATATAATTTTTGTTCTGTATATATAATATACAACATTCTAAAAATAATTACATAATTCTAATAGTAAAAAAAATTTAATAATTTTT